GGAATCTCTTTCTTCTTGTGGTTGGATTGTACAAGCATATACTTTCTATTTCCTGATACATTCTGGTTTGGGGAGTTATTTATTGCATATGGCAGACCATGCTGTGTGTCTTTCCAGAGCTGGTATTTTGAAGTAGAGGAAAGCTTCACTACACTGATAATAGCAGGTTCTCAAATGATATTTTAATAAAATGAAACCTTTAAATTATTTTCAATGAAAACTTTTTCCTTTAAACTTAAACTTCCCATGTTGTGTTCAGATTTTTATTCCACTTGAAGGAAATTGTCCCGTTCTGTTGATAATCCTCAATCCATAAGAATCAGGCAAGGCAATAGATTTTAAATTAATTGTACCTTAAAGTGAAACTGTCCACTTTTTTATTCATTGTCCTTAGGGAAGAACACCTTTAAAAGTATGATAAGCATTATGCTTTGAGTGAAGAAGAAAATAATACTCAATAAATTGCCTTGGCATTAATATAAAATGCTATTAGTAACATCAACAAAAATTAACATTATGTTTTAAATGATTTTAAACTTGACAGTTCTTCTTTGCATATACATCATACCAAAAATACAGACATTCTTAAATTTCTCAGATGGGGAAAATCATTGCTAATTTATTTTGATTCACTTTCTAAATTCATCTACTAAATTTTGTCAATTATATGGGATAAATGGAAACTATTTTTTCATTTTGACTCTAAATTGAATAGTAGTGCCTTTTGTGGTCAGTAGAAATGTGTTCAGAAATATGAAAATGATAAGGTTGTTGTATACATAACCCAAATTCCCAGTGATGATAACCCTTTTAAGCTTGTCATGATATTACTCCAAAATATAATTTTCAACAAATGAGTAATAGATGTGATTATTGTCATAATGTACATTGAAAAAGACCATCCTGCTCTTGGAGTTAGTGTAGACATAACCTAGAACCATGAATTGTAAAGGTCAGAAGGAACTTTAGATATCATTTCATCTAACTCTGCCATTCTACAGAGGAGGAACCTGGGGATCGGAGAGATGAAGTAACTTGCCTAAGGTTACTTAGCTACTAAAGCCAGAGCCAGACTAGAACCTGGATTTTTCTCATTGCCAATCTAGTGGCTCTTCCATCATGTGATGGAGTCCCTACTACACCATGGCTGACAGTCTCAGGTTAAAGTGGGCAGCCATACCACCAGGAGTAATATGATAAACTATTCTTTAGGGAAAGTAGGATGGAGTTATTTGGATGCCCTCACATTCAGCTCCACAGAAACCCTGACAACGATCCTTTTCATATTAATCAAACAAATTCTGGCTTAGGAGGAGTCATTTCCTAGGAAGGCGTAAGTTGGAAACCCCCTCCAGACTAGCAAATAAACAAAAATAAAGGGTTATAGAAATTACACCTTTCAGTAACTGTAATGACTAATCTTTGCTGGAGAAATGTAACCTCTTTCTTTTCTTTGGAGAGGTAGGGGGCTGTGGATATGGAATATTGTATATACTGTCAAGATATCCTGACAGTTGGTTTCACTGAATTGTTTTTCTTTGTTACTGGGGAAGGTTCAGTGGCTAGGTGATAGTGTCACTTGTGGAAATGACTAAAATACAAAAAAAAAAGGCATCAGTAAAAAGAAATTCACCTCCATAATCTCCTACATTTTAAAAGGTGACTGAAGAACAACCAATTTCACTATATTTTAAAACTATGAAGAGTCACCAAGCCAAATATTCCAAAAACCTTAAGGCCATCATGATTTTTTTTTTTCTTCTTATCACAGACTTCAAGATTTCAACATTTAATGCTGGGTCACTGAGGTTGGGGAGCCTGCCACACTCCATTTCCACTGCTTTATGGCCATGGAGGAACAGACTCATGGCATTAGTCAGCAGTTTCTGAATTTTGACCCACAATAGGAGAGATACCTCAAGACAGGAGAAATAGATGGAGGCAATTACAAACAGCTACATGATTGATGGTTGACATTGTTAGGGCTCCACTGTATGGCAGGTTGCAATGGTGTTGAACTCCCCTTGCTACCAGTGGATGTTGCTATTGGCAACCGTGCAGTGAAGCCAATAAAAAGGAGAGGAAATGAGAGGAAAAAACTCAACCTTGGTGGAGGCTGTAGGGTTTGTCTTATAAATTATGTTATACTTAGCAATATGCAGCATCAATGTTTAGGAGAGCTCCAGTACACAGAACTGCCTGCCTGCAGTATCAAGTCAAACTAGGAATCTATTTTTTATCCTTTGGCCTTGAAACACATCTTATATAAATTTGCTTTAGATGGACTTGCAAGAGGCTTTTTGGGCTATTTATTTGTAGTGTTTGAGGAAAACAGATGTGAGTTTGTTTCAGCCTCTCTTGGAGTGTTTTTCAATTCCCTTTTGTGATGTAAACATGATGTGGCACAATACCCATAAACACTTGCAGTAGCTCAGAAAGCAGAGATAGGGGTGGCTGTTTCTAACCCCACCCACCTTTGTTCCTTACCTGGAGGAAGTAAGACAGCCCTGCAAGAAGCCATTTTCCTTTACAGCGAGGCAGTTCAGAAAACGGGCATAATAAAGCCCATAAATCTGAACGACCTCCTCTTACCAGCTCTATTGAGGCATCTATCTACACTCATTTTCTCCTGTAGTTTCTCGATCCTTCTCTGCTGAGGAAGCTGTAAAGGGTAGTCAGAAGCATTATTTTTTTTAAGGCTTCTCATCTCTCCTCTACACAGCCCTCCCTTTCTAAACCTTTCTCTTGTGCTGAGCTTTCTGATAACACAGCCTCTCCTCCTTCTGTCTGAGGGCAGCCTTTCCTTTCTCCTTGTTTTCACTGCCTTAACCCTCCCCCCACTCTTTTTTTTCTTCTATCGTGATTTAGTGGAAAGAGCCCCGGATTTCAAATCATGACTTGGGTTCCCATCCTGGTTTTCACCTTCCCTGAACCTCATTTTCCATGTCTGCAAAATAATGACATTGATACTTGGCACTCAGTGTTGTGAGGAAAGGCTTTACAATCTTAAAAGTGCTATGTAAATGTCAGCTACTCGTTGGCCACAGTTCCTTTGTTACCTCTCTGGTCTGCACAGATAATTTGTTTATTATTTGCCTCTTCATACAGACCTGCCTCCCCTTAATTAATTTCTTGCTACATTGAGAGTATTACCTAGTTCCTCCACTGTCTGCTCTCCCTCTCCCCTTATACATTATCTTTTATTCCTTGGAATATTCAGGGAATGGAGGAGAAAGGTGGTATTGATCAGTAAAGGTGAAAATAGGCAGAAGGAAAATTACAAGCCGGATGGGACTTGAGTCAGCCCCACCCCTTCATTTTACCCATTTTACAGACGAGGAAACTGAGATCCAGAGGTTAGGTGACTTTTGCCCAAGATGGAACTGCTGATCTAGTGATGAGGTTCAGGGTGCAAGGTCCTGAAAGAACATCATCTTCAAGGACTAGAATTCATGTAGAGTATCATAGATTTAGAGCTAAAAATAACCTTAACTAGTCCAAAACTCTGTTTTTACATATGAGGAAAGTTGACCCCTCAGAGGTTAAACAAATTATCTAAGATTACACCGAAAATAGAGATCAGAGGGGTTCTAGTCAGACTGTCAAGTAGAACCCCTTCATTTTACTGATGAGGAAACTGAAACTGGAGATGTTAAATGACTTGCCCATGGTCATATAAGTACATCAGAAGGTGGATTTGAACCTGGATCCTCTGACTTTAGAAGCAGGCTTCTTTCCATTACATTGTATTGCCTTTCATGAGTCTCCATCCTCCACGATGCCTATCTTTGCTCTGTGGACAAAACACCCAGCCTCCGTAACAGTTTGTTACACAGCCAGTTCAGAAGTTCATTTTTAAAGCTCATGCGAAATAGCTGGACGTTTTGAAGACAAGGTGTTTTGGTAGCTTACAAAGCTGGTTTAGTCAAATTGAACAGGCCTCATTCTTTCCTGTTGAATGTGTGCTCCCTGCCCAGACTCTTGTTTCTTAGCCTTCTGTGCTATACCAGGACAAAACAAACCCACTGGTCAGAAAACTCCATGTAGTCAATGCCCCAGTCAGATGGTACACCAGGCCCATTTTATTTCCTGTGAAATGCCTACCTCTCCTGAGAAAACAATTCCAAAAAGAACATGACCCATTTATGCTAAATCCAGATTGTGAGCTTCAGAACTATAGATTTCCTTTCCATTCATACTTTAATTAAAGTCCGTTAATCCTCTTCTCTTGGGAGGAGGCACAGTCCACTGTGAATATTGAATAGGGCTCCTCTGAATGCAGGGCCCACAATCCCCATTCAGTGTTATTACTTTTATATAAACTTCCACTGGCCAAACAAATTTACTGCCTCCTTACCACAGACTTCTTTGGGGGGGGGTAACTGGCCCAAGTTGAGACTTTTAAGGATAATAAAGTTTGTTTTTTAAGGGTAGGCAAGATTGGCTATGCTAAAGGCCCTGAACAATGACAAAGAAGCTTCATTATTTAAAAAAAAAGCTCTGTAGAATACAGAGGAGGGTCCTTGGGACATTCTGGCACAAAAGGGAGAACAGCAAAAGCAAGCAGAGAACAGAAAAGCGGGCAGTGTTTAGCTTATAACAAATAGTGGCGAGATAAATAAAACACCATAATTCTGCATTCCCTTAGCTTCTTGTGTGAGCACTGACCAACCCAACAGTGTTCTAATTGCTGATTTGGGTCAGTGCTTTTTTTTCTGCTTTAGATGCTGTGGTATAGATATTCTCTGTACAGCAGCAGTGGAAAGGTGGCCCTCTCCTCCATCCACGGCACTCTCTGGGCTTTATGTCTTTCTGTATTATTCCAGGTCCACTTGCTGTTCAGAATGACTAAACCCAAAGTAGAAAGTCACTTCCCAGCTAATGGGATCATCTCCAGCGCCCCGAGCTTGTCTGTGGCAGCTTAAAAAAAAATTGCGGCAAAGCCAAAGAGAGCCTTTTGAAAGCCAGTCATTTTGCAGTGGCAACCGATGCAGGCAGGCTTAATTGATATCTTCCACTGACACAGTGAGGCTGGAAGAGGAAGAAGGCGGAGGTGTCTGAGAAAGCAACATTTTCTGGTGCAGCTCTTCCCATTTACTCCTGTTCACAGCAATAGAATCCAGCATGGGCTTCAATTTCACATTTACTTTTACTAAGGCCTAAAAGAGATTTAAAAAGAGGAGGGGGGACAGGGGTTGCAGGTTTGCAGGGAAGAAAGAAAACCAGAGTTATTGATATTATTTCTCACCAGGGAACTGGCTATAAGGAGCATGATTCATTGTGATTTTGGTGGATGTAATTATTGAGTAAATGGTAATAAATAAGCGTGGAGTAGTACACATAGCGCGGTGGCCTCAGAGTCAGGATGTCCTGAGTTCCAGGTCCAAGTCTGAGACATACAGCTATATAATTCTGGGTAAGTGACTTAACCTTTCAATGTCCCCTGGAAACTCGGGAAAGCCCTATGTTGCAGAACAGTCTGCATTGGTAAAGGGCATTTGCTCAACATGAGCTCTCTCCAATGAAATCACAGGTCTGGACCTCCCAAATTGTTGAATAAGTGGTAATAAGCATGTGTCTAAGACTCACGTGGTAGTCTAGGAAGCAGCTTGCCGACAGAAGCTTCTGAAGGAGGGATAGAATCAAAGTCGGTGGGCTCAGGGTTGCTTCTATTTCTGAGACTGAGAAGCATGAATTTCAAACCCACTCTTCTTCCCTTCAGTCAATTTTTTTTTTTTTTTACTTTTCATTAGTGATGTCAGGTGACCTCCAAGATGAAGTCAAAAGAACATAGCTCTTTGGCTAGTAAAATATCAAAAAGTATTTATTAAGCTCCTCTTTTGTGTCTTTTGTAACAGTAGGAATAAAATCATCTGAGCAAATTGCACAGATAAAGGTGGCTCTCTCTCCCCATCATTTTCTGGACAGCATGATAGCAGATAAATAAGAAAGACTTTTATGACAATCTTATCCTTTTGAAGCATGGCTAGGATTAAAGAGACAATGATAGCACTATTATCTGGGCTTTTAAAACGTATTGATATGGAGGTGTTTTTATAACAGTAATTCATGAATAGATCAAATCAGGTGAAAGCTTGCAGATCCTTGGACGTTTATTTCTATTGGATGGGCTATTTTCAAATCAGAAGACTCTCTTAATACCTTGTTGAAATAAGAAACCTTTATATTCACATCTGTCACATATGTTTAAGTGTCAAGACACACTGTATAACTAGTCAGGGTGAATTATACTTTTACATAAGATGTTTCAATATTCCTTGCACTTAAAAGGAGTCCATTCATTCTCAGATAGGAGATACAATGCAGAGATTAAATGGTCCCTGTTTTCATAGACCTTACAATCTAAAAGGGGTACAAGACACACAAGAAACTAGTACAAAATAATATATCACAAATGGGTTAAATTTATGCATATAAAGTACCATATAGAGTTTGAGAAGTTAAAGGCCATTATTGTTGGTGAAATCAGGGAAGGGAAGACTTAATGAAGGAGCCGACATTTGATCTAGGCTTTCAAGGATGAATAGGATTTCTGTGGGCAGAGTTTGGGGAAGAATGCACAGGCAGGAAAGTGAAGGATGAGGAGAAGGCAGGTAGTCTAGTTTGGGATAAGGAGTCATTTGAGATAAGGAATAGTGGTGTCAGATTTTGGAGGGCCTTGAATGTCAGTCACATGAGCTTGAATGAATGAATTTCAAACATGAATTCAAGCAAATTTAACCCATTATTTTTTCCTCTAGCCATGTTTTCTTTTACTTTTCACTGATAATGCTAGGTAACCTTCAGGATGAATTCCAAAGAAAGTTGCTCTTTTGGCTAGTAAAATATCAAAAAGTATTTATTAAGCACCTTTTTGTGTCTTTTGTAGCAGTAGGAATAAAATCAGCAAATTGCACAGATAAAGGTGGCTCACTCCCCACCATTGTGGCCTATGTATATGTGTGTGTGTGTGTGTATAAAGTTACACTCTGTGGTAGTAGAGTAGACAGAGATATGGTTTACTAGATACACTGTTGAATCTGGATTTAGGAGAACCTGGAGTCTCTAACACTTACTAGTTCTGGGATATTGGGAAAGACAGCTATAAAAGGAAAATAATAGTATTTCTACTCCCTCTCTTAACAGATTTACAGGTTGAAAGTGTTTTGCAAATCTTAAAGCACCACATAAATGTGAGTTATTTTTATTATGACTATGTGTGTAAGTTCTATTTGGCAGTAATATGAAGGAGTAGAGAGTGGAGGTGAAAAGCCATTCACAACTCCAGTTCTCTTGAGTGGCTGGGAAATGTCTGGGATGTCTTTAGCGGAAAGGAAAAAAATAACTTGGTGAAATTACTTGGTGTATCTGTCATTTGTAATATCAGGGATCTTATGGAGGAAGTTCTGAGGTGGAAAATCCAGTATAAGACAGGGATCTCTGCCCCTTAATGTATTATATGTGTGTGTGTGTATATATATATATATAATAGCATATAATTACAGCATAAGTAATTATAAATGAGTTTTCAGAACATAATACAGAGGGTCGAATTCACAGAAAGACAAGAAGAAGGGAAATAAACAATATGTCAAACATGAAAAACTGCAGAGATTCTTGGTACAGTGGATATAAGCATTAAGGGCAGCTGGGTGGTGCAGTGGATAGTGTGCTGGGCCTGGAGTCAGGAGGACCCAAGTTCAAGTCCCTCAGACACTGACTAGCTGTGTGACCCTGGGCAAATCACTTAACCCTGTTTGTCTCAATTTCCTCATCTGTAAAATGGGCTGAAGAAGGAAATGGCAAACCACTCCAGTATCTTTGCAAAAAACAAAACCAAACCCAAATAGGGTCATGAAGAATCAGATACAACTGGAAAATGACAAAAAGTGGACGGACACCCCCTCTAGAGTTGGAAGATGTGTATTCAACCCTCCCCTCCATGGCCTTCAATTTTTCACCATAAAATAAGGGTGTTGGAGTGGATGACCTATTCTCTTTTGGCTCCAAGTTTGTGAATTGACTTTAATATCCTTGCCAACAATCAGCCATGTTCTTGCAATATGTGAAACAGTGGTTGGCCTTACAGCTTGAATGATTAGAAGGCTCTCTTTTCAAGAATTAAAAGTCTTCAGTTTAATAAACACACATTTTGCTAGACTGAGCTTTGTAAGGGCAGAGACTATTGTCATTCTCTTGGTACCCATGAAGTTCCTTGTACATGGCAGATACTTCATAAACTTTAGCTGAACAAATTATGGATCAATAAGTATCCTGTGTACTGAGGAGGAAAATATTGAAGGTTTAAAATACTAAGGGAATCAGGAGTGCGTTGGCCATTATCATCAAACTAGGGTAAGTTCTCATACTCTGGAACTTCCTTTATAAATATCTTCCTCCCAGGGATACTGACAATGTTCAAACTACACTTTGTGAGGCACATTCCTCTCTGAAACCACAGATAAATAATGTATAACTGAGAGAGTGTGGTGCCAGGAAGCACTGAGACAAAGCAGGAAAAGTAACTAAGAGAAGAACATTCCTCTCTCTGAATCCCCTGGTGCCTGGTTGAGTGAGTAGTTAGAATTCTGAGTGAGTCACCTTTTTCTCATTTGAGCCAGTCAACTCCACTCATTTCTATGGTAACAGACTGTACCCCTAATCCTAGGGATGAGTCTAGAAGTAGTCTATGAGTCGCAAGGGAGACTGGTGAGATATGAACGTCTGCATGTAATTACATCACCTCTAAAGCATATAGTAAATTTTGGGGCTTAATAAAAATGTCATCATCATCACCATCATCATCATCTAAATGAGAGCTATTACTAGAAAAACAACTTAAAGCGCATATCCAGATACTGACAACAGCAGCAGCATCCTATATAATAGAAAGGACATCATCGACCACTTCTCAGCTTACTACCAGAGCGATCTGGGGCAATTTTCTTAACCTCCTTGGGCCTCAGGTCCCTCATTGGTAAAATAAGGGGTTTGGACTAGAAGGTCTCTGAAGTCCCTTTTAGTTCTAGGTCCATGATCCTGTGACGCAGGCCAGTGCCGAGTTTTTAAAGATCTTTCTTTTAAAGAGCTTTCATCATCGTGACAGAGCTACCTCTCCAGTTCTACACGGCCTAAGCATAGTATTTTCTGCCAACAGTGAAAAGTATTCCTTTCCTTCCAACAAAGAAAACATCTGTTTTATAATCCAATGCACTCATACTTCTATCTGATAAGAAATCACACCAACTTCCCCTTCCTTAGGTAGTAACTGAAATTCCTTTTATTTCTGTGAGAAGCACTCACGGTGGACGTTTTCTGCACTCTCAGTAGGGAGTCTTCATTCTGACATTTATGTGATACAGCAACTGCCGCTGCTGTATTTAGTATAGTTTGGCTTGGGTTGCTCTTCATTCTGATCAAGTCTTTTAATTAAACTGACTAGGATAATTCCTATGGAAATTAGTGTTTATTTTATTTTCAAGCTACAAAAGCATTTCTCTAGGACTTTTTTTTTTGATCCCAGGAGTACAAATTGGAATTTTTTTTCCTGCCTAAAATGTAATTAAAAACTCATTTGATTACTATATTTCTGGCTCTGTTTTACTTATTAAATTCCTGTAATCAGTTTTCTTTTATGAAACTGCTGGGAAATGATCTCAAAAGCAACACATTTTTCTCTTTCTTGGCAGGTTCCTGAGCATTTACTGAATTATATTCATAGCACCTGGCCATGATTCGAATTAATCCACCAATTTATTCCTTAAACCATTTGAGTTTATTTGGCTTTCCCCCAAATAAATTTCTTTACTTCTATCTTGGCTCTTTGTTCTACTAGTTGTTTCTCCCTTTGTTGAATGAAAACACTTTGGGGGAGTATTTTCTCATTTTCTTTTTTTTTTCTTCCTCTCTACTTTTTCTTCCTCTCTCTTTCTTTCTCTTTCTTTTTCTCTCTCAGTTTGTCTTCCTTCATCCCTCTCTCTCTCCCTCTCTCCCTCTCTCCCTCCCTCCCTTCCTCCCTCCCTCCCTTCCTTCCTTCCTTCCTTCCTTTCTTCCTTCCTTCCTTCCTTTCTTCCTTCCTTTTTCTTCCTTGCTTCCTTCTCCATCTGAGGCACAGAATTGCAACAGTAAAATATTTTTCTCTAGGCCTAGTGTTTACTAT